AAAAAAGCACAATAATATTGATAACAATCAAAAGAACGGGAAAAATAAAATAACAAAATAATTACACACGAAAACTTATAGCCTCGTTAATCCGTCAAATGGATTGAACACAACAATAAACAAACACATCTTCCCATGAGACAAATATATCACGCACACACAAGAACAAACATGGAAAAAAAAATGAACTCAGAAAGCTTTCCAATTATCAGTGGAATCCTTTATCGATGTTTGTGCTTCGTTAGACGTCCTAAATGGCTCGCCTGACCCGAATGGATCAGCACCATCGTCAAACGACGGGAAGCCCTGACCATGATCGGAGTCCCTTGTGCTACGCATGGAATCAAACCTAGAAAACGACTCGCGTGGAGGGAACAGCCCAAAGTTGTAATCCGAATCGGCCGAGCTGCGGAATGAGTCAAACCTCGTGAGTGACTCCTGTTGACCAAAGTACCCCTGGTCAAAGTCGGCGGACTCCCTAGTGCTGCTCCGCATGGAGTCGAATCTCGACAACTCGCGAGAACCAAACGGGCCACTATCATGCATGTTGAAGGAATCGAACCTCGAAAAACTGTCCAAGGAGTAGTGATCCTCCGAACCTTCACCGAACTTTCTAGGTGAGGTGTTGAAATTGTACATTGGTGTACTTGGGACAGAATCAGCAAACTGACTGTTATTATTCCTCATGAACAGGTTATCCACGTGGGGTGAGCTAGGGAAATTGTACTGTGGTGTGCTCGGGACCGAATCGAAAAACGGACCCTGCTTTGGGGTGCTTGGGACAGAATCGAAGAACGGGCCCTGCTTTGGGGTGCCCGGGACCGAATCGAAAAATGGACCCTGTTTTGAGGTTTTGGACCCAGTTCTAATTGGATTCAGACCCCATTCATCCGGACCAAATAAAGAGCTCTCACTATGCCCTCCGTGCTCGGCTTCCTGATTTACAATTGTGATGCAACATTTAATCAAGCAGAATTAATATTCGTAAAGAATAACGGAAGAAGTACTCGTATTATTTTGGGAGTTGAAAATTGCAAATTGGAAAAGTAGCTGATAACATAGAATTTCCACATACCTTCGATTCAATAGGATTGAAATCCCATGCAGCAACTGTATCATAACTAGTTTTATCAAAAGAACCCCAACCTGGTTCATCAAACCGGTTTTCTCCAGAACGTATGGATTCAACCCCATACTCACTGCAACATGAAGTGGATATTTTCAAATATATCTTCAGAGAAAGAAAAGGAAAGGCACATAGATCGGATAAGGGTGGTTAAACCTGACATGACTAGACAAAAAATGCACGTAAAATAAGGAGCTACAAAAGAAAATGACAGCTACCTTTGGGTGTCAAATGCACGAGGGGACCCATTTACATTGACGTCTCTTGTTCGAAGGTCATGGATTTCCTTGGTTGGGCTGACTGCTGCTTTGCTTTCTGAAGAACTGTCAGGTGAACTTCTTGCAGTTTGTTCCTGGTTGTGAGTACTTGCCCTTGAATCCTCATCAGCCTTAGAAGGTGATTTTGCAGCATTCTCTTTATCTAATAAATGAACCTGCTCTCGAATTAAGGCAGACTTGGGTTTGGGAGGGGCAATGACATTTTCCACTTCAAGGGTAAGCTCCTTCACACAAGTGAATCCTGATTGCGAACATGCAAAAGGTTTATTAGTACTTACAAATGGAAGTGAGATTAAAATCAATGATAAATTTGGAACCTTCATCTTCAAATTTATCCCATTCTTCATCCCAATCAGCAGCCAATGCTTCAATGCCAGGTTGCCACCCTGGACAGCAATTTTAACAGCAAAATTGAGCATTGAGAGAAAATCATTGATATCCCCATTAAGAATAACGAAGCCAATAGTGTTTTTCCTTTAGATCAGCAAGTTCATAATGTGAAACTTGTAATAGTTAAGCTTCATAATTCCCTGGCAGAGATAGTTATCTCTTATGACTTTAAGCTCATGGCTTCATCAGCTCTCGATATGCATGAAAGAAGTAAACCAAATCAAAAGCACTCTACCTATTTGAATTGTGAATGAAAAATGGAACAATAAATTGATATTGTGATAGCTTAAATTTCCTTATCTCATATCATTAACTGATGATGATAGGCAAAGAACTATGTTCACATTTCCTCTTATACAACTCAATTAAAATAGTCATACTAATATCACATTTTATGAGTAAAAGAATGTGCGGAAATGTACCAAATGGAAGCTCAACGAGCGACGTTGGTTTTCCGCGTAATCCATATAATTTGCACCGTTCATTCAAAGCTTTCACTAGTTCCTCAAGTTCTGATTGGATTTTATTAATTCGATCCTGGTAGACAAGTTTGTTATAATCAGAATATTTTCTCGTGACTTGTTCAAACCATGAGAAGAACATCATACCTGAGCATCATCAGCATTGTCTTGGTCCAATTTGGCGATTGCACGATAAAGTTCCATTTTTTTCTCCTACAAATCAAGTGATTAAAAAGCCAATAATACAACCGAAACATGCAGATTCAGCAACTATATAGGCATTTACAATGATTATGATTCCACCAAACAACATATAGTACAACAACAACGATACCTGAATATCACGAAATGTGGACTCTTCAATTGTTAATTTTGATGCTACATCACCAGCCTGCTTATATTTTTCTTCATACTTATTTGCCAACGATTCAGCCTAAAAAAGAAATTTCAAGTCAAGAATCAAACAAATAGCATTTTATGCCAGTCTGATCAACAACTATTTCTTGATACCTCTCGCTTGTCAGCTACAACTCTTTCAGAGATCTCGTTCAGACGATTGTCACATCGACTTTTGTATAGAATCTAGAATAAAAAATGACAAAAGGTGACTAAAAATTCATTTATGGAAAAAGAATTAACAAAGAGAATATGAAGATCAATGTATATTTTTCCCACAGGCAAAAAATAAAAGTGAACAAAGTCATTTCTTAATCTTAAAAATACTTACATATTATTTCTATTGTATTTACATCCATGTTTATACTCTAGAGAATGCATATAAAACCACGTTAAGTTTGTGCTATTACACCAACATTGACATTTAGATTTCGACGTGAAAGGTAAACTCACAAGTTCTTGCATCTTGGCATGGAAGAATTGAACTTTTTGTTTGGCCTCCAAAATGTCCTTTTCCAGTTCTTCCACCTGTGTAGACAAAGATAAGTAAAGATAGATAAATGCCAGTGAAAAGGATAAAGTACATAATCCTATTCGTATACCCTACAGTTAAACTCAGTATTACTCAGACGGGATAAATACTTGGCAACCTGACATCTAGTTCTTGGGGAAACAGGGAAGAGGCAGAGTTATAGCAATTATATCACCCTAACAGCAACAATGAAGTACAGAAACGAGCAATGTAATAAGAGGAGCAACCAAGTCAAAAAGCTGTCTAGAAAGATAAAATTAAGATCACACTTTACAGTTTACACTAGGCAATAAAGTTCATACAGCTAATCACTCAGGTTCTACGATATAAAATTCAATTTACCGAGACAAACATAGCTAAAAACATTTATGGTTAAAAGCTAGTATATCAACCATCTGAGTATCATTATAACCATCCTTCTCACAGAAGTACACCAATAACAAATTTCATACAGACAATTAGCAAATAAGATGGAGAAATTCCTTAATTGTTACAATGTTTCTCTCTCAGCGAAATTGCCTTCTGAAATGGTTGCTCAAAATGCCATGCACTATACACTGATCTCAACCAAGGCTAATAGAGTAATATTCAGCATATTAGAAGAGGATAGCTACGTCCAAAAACAAGCATGTCAATCAAAACTAGTCAAGCAATCTTTGCCCTCTTTGTCCTTGTTAATCTTTCCTTGGAGGAAAGAACTCAGCTCTGACGAGTTATGTCTCAAATTAGACTTTAAGAATACAAGACTGTTCGGAAGGACTATAGTGCAGTAAGTAGGGACCACAACAGCACAGGAACAATTTTGGTATTCGGTCGTTTCTTAGGGTTTAAAGTTTGTTATTTTGGAAGCCTACTCAAAACAAAAACAAACAAAAAGATAGAAAAAGAAAAAAAGAAAGGCTCGTCAAAAAATCAGAATCAGCTCCCACCACCCAAAAGGCAGTTCCGGGGGGCCTATGCAATACACTCACATTTTGATCACTTAGGAAGCAAACAGTCAATATGGTGATAAACTATCACCCCTGTCGCCTAGGCTTCCTCGTAAAAGCTATGTTTTACACGTTTCAAACAGTACAAACCCATATCTAAATAATACAGCTATTTCTAGAATACTAAACTTCTACCAATTGCAAGACAAATTTATGACCAAATAAAATGTCAGTAGCGATAAATAAGAAGAGAAAAGAAGAGAAGAGGAGGAAGCAACAGGCATATTCAGAAATAAGATCACCTTTTTCTCTGCATTCTTAGCTTCCTCAAACTTTTTGTTCAGTGAATCTTGCTCCTCTGTGCTAAGCTGATCTAGAAGATGCTTCTCCAAGACTGGAACTTTAGCCTTCTGTTGTATGGACTCTTCAGGCTGGGGAACAGGGCGAGGTGGCTTTCCAACACCAACAGAAGTGATAGGCCGTGCATTTTTAGCTCCTGGGGGCTGTTGGAAACCTAATACGGGATGAATAGATAATGAGGACATGCAACTCAGATTCCAATAACATATAAATTGAAATACTCCAATCGAACCAGATGAAGGTCTCCAAGATGCATTGCCATAAGCAGCAGCAGCAGGTTGACCAACACTAGGCAACAATGTCTGATCAAATATAACATTGTTGGGAAGTGCTGCAGGAAGAGGGCGTCCTTCCCTATATCTCTCCATCAAGTACAGAGCCATGCAGAATTCATTCAAGGAAAGCATACTGTCGTTGTCTTGATCTGATAAGTCCCACACCTGCTTCAGGACCTCTAGTAAACCAAATATAATCAACCAGATCAGAAAGCAAGCATTCACCTTATAGCAGGGGAACTTTTTCTAGAGCGCGGATATGAAACCATAGGAGAGCCCGAAATGTACCTAGTCCCATACATATCTAATATCTGTATCATTCATCTTTGAGACACCACAATATATCAATATAACAAGTAGTGGACATATTAGGATGCTTTAACACAAAAAAGATTTGCAAAACTAATGTACTAGCAAAGTTAAAGCTACAGAAGCTCCATTGATTCTATTTACAAATATAGTATATTCAGAAAAACATGAAATCATCATAAAACAAAAACAGCAATATAAGATCCTGCAAATTCGTCTAACTACCATTTCATTCTCTACCAAAATAGAGAAAAATAATAGCAAAAAGAAGGTTAATTCTTCTAACTCTCGTTTTTCATTCTGCCATAAATTATTGCAAACTTGACTGAAAAGACACTACAACCCTCGTAATTGTTTTAAACCTCCAGAAGATATATGACGCACAGCTGTTATGAGAAACAACCAGACTCCATATACATTATACAGGAGATATAGACAATATCCAGTCCCTACAGGCCATGTCTTTTACAAAAAGGAAAAAAATGATAGCAGTTAAGAAAAAAACCTCAACTGAAGATGTTCAGATGTTACACCCAAGTACATCATAGATCATACCTCGTGGTAGCCTCCAACTAAAGAACAGGTTGCGTGCCTGTTCACCAGTAATTTTCCCATCTCGGTCGGTGTCAACTTGCACAAAGACCTTTCGATACTTCTGAATATCAGACTGGGTCATTTTCGGCCATGGATGCTGAGATTTCTCAGATGCGGCAGATTTGTGTGCTGGAACGTGTTGACTAGCTTTGCCCATAGACTGGAACTGCCCAGCTTGAATAGCTGATGGTTGAGAAACAACACTTGGCTTAACTGTAGGCTGTTCACCTAAGGAAGTCAAATTCCCTGCAGAGAAGGCAGATATGTTGGCCGCAGGAGATGTGACTGCACCGGGAGTATGCGGTTTGGATGGGGTTGCTGAGAACACATCTCCAAACTCTGAGTTCGCGGTAAAGCCATTTCCTGTAGCCGAAGGTGATCTTGTGTCATCCCTCCCAACCTGGGAAACATCATTCGGTGTGGATGAAGCAGATTGTACCAACCCAGTAGTTTCAGGTGCCTTAGGTTGAGTAAGAGATGGAGCCATAAGGCCGATGTCACCTTGAGTTGAAGAAGGAATTAAGTTTCTGTTAGAAACTTGAGAAGAAAGTCTGGCTTGGGAACCATCAGTAGTTCCACCAAGTGAGTCAAAGGAATTAGGGGGCCGAGATGCAACCGTAGAACCTGCACCAGGTATTCCTTGAGCTTGAAAGCCTGGCTGAGATTGAAATCCGAAATTCGGAGGTGGAGGCCGAGGCGGCCTGGCGATTTGACTTTGCTGAGTCAAAAAACCATGAGGGGCACTTACACTAATTCCTTGAGTAGTGTGGGGATTGCCAGACAACTGACCGGGAGATGGACCAGCATTCGGAGTTGCCTGAGGTCCTATCCGCGGAGGAGGGATTTTTGTTGAAGCTGGACCATATAAGGCAGCCTTTACGATATCTGGAGTCAATTCTTGCTTGCTTTGTGCCACGGTAACAAGTTTGAGACAGTTATAAAATTCTGAACGACCAAGGTAACCAACTTTATTTTGATCAGCATACATCCATATCTGCACGAAAACCAACAAGCATAACTTTTCAGAATTATAAGCAAGGCAGTAAACTTAATTATGCCAACATGTCACTCAGAGTGAAACTACTTTAGAATATCCACGCTCGGACAGGTTACATACAAGATGGAGTATGCTTAGGGTAGTACACACCTGCATGAAGGCGGCTGACATAAAATTTAGATAAGAGGATTAAAGTACACTCCTAGATGGAGGAGACTGATAAAATATAAGAGGAGGGCTATGAGAATAGCAGCAACACAAAGACCCAACATCCGATCTCTATAACATAAAAAGAAAACTAAGGTTGCCATGGATAATAAGTAACCTTCATGAATAACATTTCAAAACTCCTACTTGCACCTTTAGGTCATTGAGAGAAGTTATTTTATCACCACATTTCACTAGAGATAAAAAGAGCAAAATATGGCCCAGTTTGGTGGGTATTAATCTGTCAACCTCCAAGAGTCTCGCTTTCTTGGCTGCAATATTGGTTCAACCTCTCGCAGTTGATGTAACAAAATAACTTATATCTCCTTTTAATTTTTAACAGCATATAATTCAGATATTTGACTGGCATCATTCAATAGTTATCCCATAATACCCATTGTAAAGCAAAATTCCAGTGTCAAACATTCTTTGATGACACGGTTGTAGATGTTAAGACTGATGGTCTACAGATAAAGAAATGGGAAATAGTGAAGACTTCCATGCGTAACAAACACTAAAGCAGAGATACATATTTGATAACCTGTTTTTAACCAACTTCAAGAACATCCACTTAGGCACTTACTAACGATAATATCATCATTTATATAAGCATAAGCATTTCTAGCTCTTAGATGCGTTCTTGTAGCACAACGTCAACGGATAATCAAAATAAGACAACATAGCATATATAATAAAAATAAAAATAAAATAACCGCATCGACCTTTTTCATTGTTTTTAGGTTTCACTAGTGCATCTGCCAAACTACGCCAGAAAGTTAACTACCCTATTAACTAGATGCAAATAGAAGAAACATTCTTGACCTTCTACATGCTGATTGTCCAATAAATAGTAAAGGGATTTTGCAGATTTTGAGAAGACATGGAACTGAGATGCTTAAAACCAGGAGAAACTATTTATAAATCTCTCCTACTATAATACCCAGTAATGAACACAGACTATGAGATGGGCACCAAACACATCAAAGAGTAACAGCACACGTTCAACATCCCCAAACGATAAATAATCTCAGTTAGGAAAAATCGTTAAAATTAAGTAAATAAACACCTGAGCCAGAACTTGTCTGGGTAAATTTGAAGCTTGGAGGAAAGCAACGGCCTCATTCCCACTAATCCGGCCATCTCGATCCACATCCGCTCTCTGGAAATAGGCCTCGAATTGATCCATATTCGAAGTCTGCCCTGCCATTTCCCAATAATCCTAACCAGAATCGAGAAGATGGCGAATCCGACCGATGAATCAACTCATAGATCGTAAGCAATCGAGATGCATTCTACGTGGGACATAGAATTGGGGAAGATCTAGATGGAATTTGGGCGAGCACGAGCAGGGAAGAATTGTGTATCTGGTGTTGAGTATCTGGATATGAGTGCAGAGCTCACCAGCACAGTGCATCGACTTTTGCGAGAAGAGATAGTTCCGAGTTCGGCCAGAAAAAAAGATGGCGCTTCGGAAAAATCCCAGGCGGCAGGAGGGTGCAAGGAGGATAACTTCGGGGAGGAGACGGCGCTGGAGCCGTGGGGAACCTCGCGTG